TTATTCTGAATCTGTGGCATCTTCTGCCTAAATATTAAATATTAAAAGAATAAATGGCATTAATTTTATTTTCCTGTGATCTGGAGAGCAGATGCAAAGATAATCCTAGTTTTACATATGCCAGCCATCCAGAATTTAAACGTCTTGAGCACTGATAGCTGCTGAGCTGGAGTTTTGAAGAACCAGAGGTTTTGAGGAGGCAGTGTGCACCCCAGAGGGCAGACAGTGGGGCTGGACAGGGTCTGACCATATTCCACATATGCTTCTCAGAACAAGCATCCAAATCATAACCAGCCTGGGATGCCTCTAACTGCTACAGTCCCTAATGCTCTAGCCCAGTTGAGGAAATAGATCTCAATTAAATGTGGGTATAGAACTATAGCAGTTGAAGATTTATGTAGATACGAGACAAAAAAAAACCGTCTCACAATGTTGATTTTTTTTTTTTTTTTTTTTTTTTTTTTTTTTTGCAAAAAATTTTTTTTTTTTTTTTTTCATCAATGATAAAGACCATCTGATACTATAGAGGAACAACAGTGTCAGAGTATGTGTGACAATCTGAAAAGTAATTGTAAGTAGAAAACTCCACAGTTTTATTCTATTTTCCCTTTTCTATGAACAGAAGTTGTTTTTCTGGTTATAATGAAGATAAACAACTTCAGCTCTGTGCTTTGCTCTGCTCTGGAGATACTGAGAAGTGGGGAACACTGTGATTACTCTTTCATTTCAAAAATTATTTGCAATGTACCTAATTAGTCCTGGTAGAAACAAAAGTGAGAGCAACATAAACTGCAGAAGGAGTTCAATTTATCTTGCTTGACTTGTAAATAGTGGCCAAATATAGTCATTTGCAAGCAAAAATACCCTTACCTTCCTTAGTTTTGCTGAACAAGTTATTTGAATGGGAAAAAAGTAAGAAACTTCCTTTCCCTTTACCATTTGAAAATAAAACTTTGAATCAAATAGATTTTGTTTATCCACTTACTTACAGCAACTTAGGGCTTTGATGAAGTCCTTATTACTGTTGAACAGAAATGTCAGAGGCATTATCCACCACCTGACTGTACTCTATGTAATGTGCACTGGTTAGAAACAGCTTGGAGAAAGTTGAGAACTCATTAAGTATTTGGCACTAAAAACAAGACCAAACAAACCACAGAAGTTCTTTATTGAATACAAACAGCTGCAATTGTGTACATATTTCCAGAATTGTAAGATAATGAATTTTGGCACATTGTTCTTTATTGTTTTGTTTGTTTGTTTGTGTTTGGGGTTTTTTTTGGCTAGATGTTTTTTATTTCATTCTAAGATACGAACTGAATGTACTGCACTTTGCCATTGTGATTATACTGTCAACAAAGTGAATGCAAACAACAGAAATAAAAGATGTGGGAATGTGACACTTGGACCAAGATTTTCAACTCAAGAGGTCTGGATTTAGATAAAAAAAGAGACAAATTTCCAGACTGTAGGTGTACCAATGGTTAAAATATAAAGATGAAAAACTGAGGAATTGAAATTTTTTTAACTCAGCAAGGACAGTGTGTTTCAACGTGGCACAAGGAGGACATTGAGGAGTAGGTCCTTGCCATAAAGAGCCACATGGGGAGGAAGGAGGCAATATTAGAGCAGGTGAAAAACAAGTTGTTCTTGGATTGCTCAGGCCACTAATGTGACTAATGCCATGAAGAAACAGATCTGGGGCTCCTTAAGAGATGTTTGTTTTCAAAGGTGTTGTAGTGTGCAGATTTTGAAACTCTGGCCATTAGAGATGTTGGTAAGGTTGAACTTAATTATGGACTCTCAGGATCATACCTAAGTCACCTAAGCCTGATGTCTAGTTGTAGAGCAGCCCAGGCTTTTATCCTTGCTGCTTGGATGTGAGGAGTCAGAGTCCAGGCCACAGAACATACATAAGCACAGAGTGGTTATCCTAGGCTTCGTTACAAGGAAAAAATGGCCCAGGAGGATTGTTATGCTGAAGAACCTTTTGCCTATACTTGCCCCTTGCTCTTCCCAGCCTGATGTTACCACAAAATACACTGAATATCACAGACTATTTTGGGACACTGGGACTTCATTCCCACTTCCCTGAGAAAACATGAAGAATTGCAGATGACTGAGGGGATAGAAATTAATGTCATCCTTCTGTTGTTAGGTCCTGTGTGATTTCTACTCTCTCCCACTGGACAGTTTTGCTACTTCAAGTGATGGGTTATGACAAATAGACTGAACTTCTTTGTTTGCCTTTCTGTGATAGGGATTAATATAAATCATGATGGATCTTGTATGGTTCTGCAAATCAAGCCTTGGCATCATAATCCATCCACTCTACTGCAAAAGTTTTTCCCTGAGTATCCTCTACAATGCACCACCATAACACTCCAATGAAGGAAATACAGATTGGTTGCAGGGCTGTTTCCTAATGACTCCCACATGTACGGTTAATTGAAACAATTCCCCAATTATTCAATTAGAATTCTTCATTTCCAAGAACTGCTCAGGAATCAAGCAACAGAAGTTAAGACTGCTATAGTTTAAAATATCAATTTTTTTATTCAGTCTTTTTTGATTATAGGATGTGACAGGCCAAAATATCTTTTGAGAAAAATTACTGCAAAGCTATTTCCAGAAAGTTACGTGACAATCTTTACCCACCTCTTCTTTATCACTTTGATATTATTTGCAAAGTATTTTCCATTTAGTTCTATATAATGATTGTTAAAATCACCCAGAACCTAATTTTTAATAATAAATGTTTTAATCTAGTTTTAACCTTTCATAGAATGTGTTCTGAAACAATGCTTGAAGCTATAAAATGTGCATTTTCCCTTCAAATCAACACTGCCTTACTTTGGTGCTGTTCAGAATTAGTAAACTGAGGATAATTTAACAGCTCTCTGGTAAAACCTATGCTGTTCTCCTTTCTGTGAAATGCCCATTCCAGATGGGCACAGAACAAAATCCCTCACATTGTGAATGATGAAGGACTAGAGGAGAGACCCAAGGAAGCTATGGAAATCTGCAGTCTTGATAGTTTTCAAAATTTTACTAGACAAGGTCCTGAGCAACCTGATTTAACTTTGTGATTTTCTCTGCTTTGAGCCAGAGAGAAGACTAGATGATTTTAAAGATTTCTTCCAAACAAGGTTATTCTGTAAGTCTATATTACCTGCACAAGATTTTCTTGGCCTTTCTCTGACTCCTGGGGGAAAGAAAATGGAAATACCTTATGCATAAAAGATAATGATTATACAAAAGTTAACATATATATTCTCAGTAAAATCATTACAAGAGTGTACACATTTCTGGAGGGCATTATGAAATGCAGTTTAAAAGGCACCTTGGACATCCAACCCAAACACATGAACCCTCCATGTACGCTCTACAGTTTGCAGAAATGCAGTATCTGCCTTTGCAATGTGACGTGTCATAAAAAATTTTCTGTGAGAGTATATAATGACCTCTAGGTAAAATACAATTTGAAGTGTGTATAGTGCAATAAGCTTTTCAGGTATTTATGAGGTAAAAACTTGTGACTTGAAAGTCAATTAAAATTCTTACACATATTAGAATTGCGTAAATACTGTTGGACTACCATAGTAGATTCCAGAATATCTTCAAAAACAATAACATCTGCAGTTATCTTGACTCAGTATTTTGCAGATGTCATGACAGGTCTGTTGCAGAGGAACTGAGTCCAATTTTTCCCTTTAGATAAAGTCTTTCTAAAACTGAGGAATAAATCCCTTTTTCCACAGGGGCAACTTTATGCAGAGCCGAGACTCACCTCAAAAGGGAGCAGGCTCCATTTTGATTCTGCTTTCTCTCTGACAGCATGCAGGTAGGAAGAGCTGGGGAGCAGCTGGGGGTGGAGATGATTCTCTCTTTGTTCATCCTGTGCTGGGTTCAGAGTGGCCCAGGTCAGCACTACACAGGAACATCCTGGGCTCTGATGGATTTTACAATCTTTGTTTTATAGGACACTAAACCGAAATCTTTCAAAATGAAAGTGCTCAATGATCCTTGGGATGAATGAGCAACCTTGCTCTCTGGCATGCGTGCATTTTCCAGGCTGAAGTGTCACTGCAGGTAAGAATCACTTGGCTTGTGCTCTGCGGCAGGCAGTGGTTTTCAGCTAGGAGTAAGACAACTGTCAGAGTAAAGCTGAAAATGATCTTGAGCTGAACAAAAGTTGATTTGGTTGCCAGGCTTAGAAGTAGGGGTTTCAGGTCACAAAAAAGAGATGCTTTCAAGAAATTCCCTGTCAGAATTGTAAATAGTGACACATCAGGTTGTCAGTGGTCAGGACATTCTTTGTGTGTGTGTAAATAACAAGAACAACATCCCTGGTACTCAGTGCTTGAACAAAGATTAAAAGTCATAAGGATGTCAAACAATACCAACGGTGTTGCCTTGTGTGTACCTGTACTTAATGGCTTATCTGGACACTGTTCTCAGGAATCCTCACACTTCAGAAGATAAAATGATTTATTTTGTTCTCAGCAAAGCCTTAAATTGCTTCTTCTTCAAGTCTTTAATACACAGAGCACGGTTTGAAAACATCAATTTTCTTTAAGTTAGGGAACAGCCTCTCAACAGTGAAGGAAAATGTGTATTTTGGCTAAAGTAACATAATATTCAGCTGGAATCCCTCATTGCAGATACAGTAGGAGAGATGCATCACCAGCAAAATTATAATTCTCTCCCTACTCAATATTTTGAGCCCAAACTGAACCTTCTCCTGTAAATGTAACAATTTCCATATAAAATATTCTATGAGACCAAATTCTACATTTGTTCATTTTTGCAAATAAAATTGCAAAAATATTTTATTCTTTGTTTTCTTTTAATGGTGTGTTTCACCATGTAAGTGTTCTAGAAATCCACTGACAATTCACTGAGAGGATCCACCTGGAAAGATTGTGGGCCTGCTGATTGAGATGGGATCAAAGTCATCAGCTTAAATCAAACCTGTGCTTTGGAGCAAAACTCTGTGAGATCATCTCATACCCATCACACATCCAAAGCTTTAAGATTTAAACACATGGATTTATGAAATGGCTGCAACATAATTTTCCAAGGTGAGTGTTAAGTAGAATGAGTTGGCAATATACCAAATTAATTTAGAAGACTACATAAACAATAGTCTAGACAGAGCTGCAGATTTTTTTCTCCTGCTACACTCATACATCCAGTGTTCTCTGCAGGAACTTTTTATCTCTCCTACTCAATCTATTTCATGAAAAATGTACTTGAAATAACACTAAGGCTTGCATTTCCCAATGCTTCCTACTCCTCTTCACAGCCTAGTGATAATGAAGAGGAAGTTTTGTTCTGGGCTGTTTCTCAGCTTCTAGAGCACCCACATAACCGACACGTGTGAAAATGACTCAAAAAGTGATGAACAAAATCTCACTACATCTGCATCTTGCTCCTAATGACACATTTTTATTCATTTTTCAAGCTGCAACAACCATCTCAGGCTTGAGATCATTACAGCCCTTTAAATATTCTAAACAAGGGCGGGTTTTACAGTATTCATATTGTTCATTTAGCCACAAGTAGTTTAAATTTTTTTTTAACTTATGACAAGATGCTAGCTCAGAAAGAACTATCAAATTAATGTATTGTAAAAAAAAAAAGATTTAACAAGCATCAACCACAGGCCAAATCAGCAAGAAAAGGGAAACAGCCCAGTTTTCCCACTAAAGTGAACAACTGTTAACATTTTGAAGGGTGAACTGGTGTGTGTGCAGATGTGCAGCATTTGTGTGGGAGAGGTCACTACTAATCTCCAAGACTTCATTGCAAAACATGTGTAGCAATCGAGTCTGGCTTCTGTTGTAGCTCTTTCTTGATGCTTTGGACATCTTTAAGTCTTCTGGCATGCAAAATTGTCTGTGCTGTGCTGATCAGCTGCTCGCTTTGACTTCAAACACAGGAACAATGAGTATTGTCCTTTGACTGCAGCACTTCTGTTTTCTCAGTCCAAAATAATGGATTTTGTTCATGTTGTGCCCTTGCAGGAGTTACTTAACCTTGCAGGATGTAAATGAACATCCAGGTACAAGTCTCCATGTCCTCCCATTTTTCTGGCCTCTATATTCTCTTACCATTTCCTGCCTCTTAATTTTTCACAGCTCAGTTTTATGAAATGCCTTACTGCTTCCCACATGTCTCATTTTTACATTTGCTTAGCCTCTACATATCCTTCTTATCCTCTCTATGTTGTTCTTTTGCCCTTTGCTTCTCACTTACCCATCTGGCACAGCACTTGGACCAATGGCTTCCTACAGCTTCGATAAACAAACAAGGCAGAATTTTTCTCAGTGTTTTCTCTGTGTCAGTAGACTAGGAAGTGAAAGTGCCTTTTTTAACTGGTAATGAGTGCTGAACCAGATCTGATCTTGTCAAATACACCACTAATATGATGCATTTCACACAGAACTGACTGAAGGTTCACATCTTCCTTCCTTCCTTCCTTCCTTCCTTCCTTCCTTCCTTCCTTCCTTCCTTCCTTCCTTCCTTCCTTCCTTCCTTCCTTCCTTCCTTCCTTCCTTNCTTCCTTCCTTCCTTCCTTCCTTCCTTCCTTCCTTCCTTCCTTCCTTCCTTCCTTCCTTCCTTCCTTCCTTCCTTCCTTCCTTCCTTCCTTCCCTGAATGATAGTAAGACCATTAAAATTTTTGGTTTGTGACCTGGAAATTCAGATAAGCCACCAACTCACAAAGGAAAAATGTCTTCCTGACCATGTGACTGCTGAAAATTTTTAATAAAAAGCAACGTCATGCTGAACATACTGAAGCTGTGATGATGGTGGTGGTTGGAAAGGAATTTGGGTAGGTTGCTTTCTTCATAACAGGCAGCTTAAAAACCCTGGATACTTGTGTGGTGTACAATCACAGATTATGAAATTTTACATCTCCATCCATCCTGACATGTTTTAAATAAATTTTAGGATCTATCAAATGGTAGTCTTTGATGGAAATCTAGAAAGGTATTTTCATGCAAGTTAGGTAACATAGGAGCCCTTGAAAAGATAATGCAAAGTTTCTGACAGTTCTAGAGTGTTCTGGAGCAGAACTAACAAACAGACACTTCTGTTGTCCTCCTGAGGTTTCCCTACCTCTCCAAAGACCCCAAAGGGAAATCAGGAAGGCTGCATTCCTAAGTCAGGTGCCTGAACTTGGTGGCCCACTGCTAGGGACAGCTTTTCCCTTATTTTCTCTGAGAAGTCAACAGCTTGGGAGCAGTGCATGATGAAGCAAACTAAAGAGCAAGAGAGCAGCATGTTGATGTATTTAAATGGGAAAGAGGAAAAGCATGGATGTTTTTTGTAGCTCAAGAGCTGGAAAAATCTCAGGCAGTGAAGAGGAGAAGCTAGACAAAGCATTTTCAGCCTTCTGGTAGTTTCAGGGTAAAATGACTGCTCTTAAGATGTTGTGTTCTAATATCTAGGTTCATTAAACAGATTAACATATGAACATAACCTAAGGATGTGAACATAACCTAAGGGTGATGATGTGAATATGCAAATTGTTGCTGGCTGCCTACAAGGCATCAGGGTTAGGATCTGTGGAAATCTGAACTTCCAACAAGGAACTCAGTTTAAGGGTCTGGAACTGTGTGTGACTTCGTATTGGTTTGGAAACATGTATAATATTATTCTCAGATTTATCTGCAAAACCACAGGTAGCATAAGCAAAGTCTTATCCAAGAAAACTCATTGTAGGGGTCACCTTATACCCACAAAGTTATCAGCTAAACTACTAGATGATCTGAAAGAATAAGGTCATACAGAGCTCCTGGGAGCTGACTAACCTTTAACTTGTCATGAAGAATAACTCTTCTTTATTTAGTTGTTCTTTCTTAGATTATCCTACCTTTAAAATCCACTGCCTTCTCAGTTTTGTTCTGCAGTGCAAAAATAGCAGTGGTTACTGATTTGCAGCCAATGTGATTTTTTATGTTTGGATTTTTTTTGCGCATCTCATAATGCTTTTTGTGAATTTCAGAATTCCAGAATTAGGAGGGCAAAAGGAAGAGGAAATTTCACCTGGACAGCAGCATCAGAAAGCACACAAAAAAATACTGGGGAAAAAAGGTTGTACTGACAATTGTCTAAAAACAAATTTGCAGCTAATCTACAGGAGTCTGAGGTTACTGGAGTGCTGGAGATAATAGAGTTGAGCGTTTTCACAAGAGGAAGATCTATTACTTTTTGTAGATGAATTTGAATAAACTTTGATGAGTTAAATATGAGTTTGAATCAACTTTTTAGATGAGTTTGAATAAGCTATTTAACTTTGCTAACACTAGAGACTGCGTAGTCTCTACTCCTGCAAAACCAAAATATTTTGGAAGAATTCTTTGGTTGACTTCTCAAAAATCCACTTATTAAAAAAAAAAAAAAGAGTTTTTCCTTGATTTTGGAAGCAAGTTTATATTAATCAGTAAGTACTGTCAAAAATGCAGAGTTTGATTTTCACAGCTAGACATCAGAAGCACAGAAGAAAAAAGAGTGGATGCATGGAGACCATCCTTTCCAGAACGAGAGGTAGATGTGGACCATGGATTCAAAGCAAATAATTCTTGCAGTGTTCTACTAGATTCTTCTAAGTGAGATTGAAAACAGCATATTATTTGACAAAATGTCAAAGGAAATACAGAACTGGAATGCATGACATTTGGATATTTCTTCTAGAACTGTAATTTTCAATTTAATTTCTAACAGAATTCATTGCAAATATAGGACAGAATAACTTCCATCATGCAAAATTTAGAACTTTAAAGTCTAAGGAACTGTTTGAACCCGGAGACACTGAAGATGTTTAAATCTTTTACTGATTATAGTAGCTTCAATAACAGACAAGCAAAACATGACTTTCCTCGTAAAAGGTACATGGGAATAGGTTAGAATCAACAATATATAATTCCTTGATAAATATAATGCAAAAAGTGTAATGGAGTAGATTAAAAAAAAATAATTTTGACCAAGTAAAATCTTTTTTGAGGTTCTTCTAAAGTGTTCTGCTCTTCTTTACACTTTCCTCTATTATTTTCAACAGGGTAGAACATAGCTGTCATGCAACACAAAAGAAGTGGGTTAATAACAGCAATTACACAGAATGTTTGAAATAGCAGCATAGGCAATGCTCATCTCATTGTTTCCAAAGTGTACTATATGTGCCTTACTTGTGGTAGAGCTCAGATCTGTCCTCTGACATAGGCAGGAAGTAGGACTAAGCTTTGTGAAGAATCAGCCAAGTGTGCAAAGAAAGTAGGACTTACAATTATCTTCAAAATAATACATTCCTATGAATCTTTTTTGTTTGTTTACACAGCAAAGGTGCTTAAAATACAGGATCTTATTCATCCAGTTCCTGGAAATACAGAGCAGTGGAAAGCATTATTGTATGTTCTTAGAAGTGTTGCTGAAATCAATGAGTACAGTCTGGTTCAGAGCTGACATTTCCTGTTTTTTAACTGGAAAATATGCCTTCACAAGCTCTTCTCATTAGATGTTTCTTTGCTGGCATACAGAAAAGTAGTTTCTGCTTTTTTTTTTTCTCTCTCTTTCCTTCTGATTTAAGTTTAATTCACTGTCCAATGTCCAACACAGACCTCTAAATCTCTTTGCTCTGACATGTAGAGCAGCAAAATCATTTGGTACCCTATACATTCTGAGGCCATTGTGGATCTCCTGTGTCCAGTAGCAGTAACATGTTTCCTCAGAGTTCAAGCTGTATTCCAGCTGGTTGGCAAACTCTGTGTCTAAAACTATTTAGGCAAATAAATAGCAATAATTATATTAATATTACTGTACTGTGGATCAAAGTATTGAGTGCTGTAGACCAGCAAACCTCTAGTAATGCCAAATGAGGAAAATTACGCTAATTTATTCCTTAAGCTTTAGGCTGTATTTAAAATTATGACAAACTCTGACACACATTAGCTATTTCCCTATGGTATATACCATGTAGTACTCTATTCATGCAGCAATGATTTCTGAGCTATATCATTGCTCATCATTCAGTGGATTTTACCCATAACATAAGAGAATTAATTTTATTCAGAATATTCTCTACATTAGCAATTCTATCTTGTTCATCACAAAATATTGCCTATGGAGGAACACTACAAGAAAATGGAACTATCATTGATACTTTTGCTAAGCCTACAACAATATTTGAGTAACTAACACAGGCTAATGAAATCTATTTGGCCAAAACACCAGAAATGAGTCAATACCTGTCCTTAAAGAATTCCACAGGGGAAACATTATGGGTTAGTTTTTCTCCATATGTCCCTGCATTGTCTGTGTAGATCATACCGTTTCTTTTTTTTAGGAAAATTGTTTTATAAGACACCTGACTTTTACGTGCAAGCTACTGGTATTGGAACTCATTATCTGTCCTCTTTGGTAAAGAAAGAAATGATTCTTATATTTAGACATTATCGAACAGGGATGTAAAAGTGGAGCTGGATCATCTCAGGCGGAGTGTTGGAGTGTCCCTTGTCCCATGTCTTGCATTGCCATTCGTCAATTGCCAGTCGAGTTACCCTTAGGAATGCATTTTCCAGTACCCAGCATGCAGATCTGGAAATACCATACAAGGGCCACTTGGGAGGCATCCAGGCATCTAGAGATGGGACCCAGAGGGATTGCAGGGACAGCTACACCACACTGCAACTTCTGCCTAGGATGTACCCAAGTTCCTTTTCCAGGGAAAAGAGGGTGCAGGAAGGTACGGCTGGTTGTTTCTCAGATCTCTGCTACTCAGCTGGGGCTGACATTTGCACTGATGAGGCTGCACTAATGGCAGCACAGTCCCCGAGACTGGAAGAACCAGCTTTAGAGGGTTAATTTGCAGGATGTGATATCCCTGCCTTTGACAGAATAGCCTGCCCTTACACTCAGTGGAAGAGAAGGCATCTCCAGAGAGTGAGACATCTGACCTATTTCTTATGTACGCTCTTGGCACCCAGTTAGAGGGTAGTTCAAAGCACCCATTTTGGCTTCAGCCTAAGGGCGTTGCAAAGCTACTGTGGGTGGCCAAACCTTTTTGAGTACAAGCAGCAATGTGAAGTCCTTGGCCCTCTGTTGTTGAGGGCAAGTTTCTTTTTTTACTCCCAGCCTGCTTCCTCCAAACCAAGATCAATGTACAAAAGGGAAAAATTGGGACAGAGCAACATCTCCAACTCAAACTACCGTGTTTTTAAAGAATTCAGGTGATAACAGAAGGTACTCTTGGCAGATTATATTATTGTACTAGACTGGTTCGTGGTTTGATTTTTTGTAGGGCTGTTTGGTTGGTTTTTTTAATAGCACACAATCGTATTAGCATTGAGTACCTTAAATGTAATCTACAAGGCACAAAATCAGTAGTAAAACTGACTGGTTGTAAAATTAAGTTAGCTTGAATGTTCTTTGGCAGGAAAGTTTTGTAAAATGTAACATTTTTGTTACTAGAAAACTCAATATCAACACAGAGGCAAATAATTATTTAATAGGCATTTAAACATTTAAGAATCCATGAGCTAGTTCCATCTTTGGTAGGATCAGTAAAATCACTTGTATTGCTTACAGCTTCCTCCACGCAGCAATTCACATGAAATACTCAGCAATGGAGCAGTTCTTCAGTGTGTCTGGTTTTAAATAATCCTATTTCACCTGCCTGGCCAGGCAAATAAGTAGGAAAACAGAGGAAAGTAATTGAACAGTAAGAGTAATGACACTGTAATTTAGAGAAGTTAAAAGATAGTGGAAAGAATGGCAATAAAAACAAATACTGAATGCATACATATCTATAGAGTTGTATGGAAAAACAGTGCTGTGAAATGATGCTGCTGCTGTCCTGGGCTCTCCAGTGAGGCAAGGGATGAAATTCTACCTGGAGCTGAGTGATGTTCCTCTGCCTTAATTAGTATTCTTCTTTGGTACAGAAATGTACTATGTAAAGAAAATATATTTTCTTATGGTCTTCACCTGATGTTTCCAAACCTCACTCTATCTTATGTCATTTTCATTATCAATTATGTGATAGCTGGTAGGGAAATGTAAGTCTATCCCTTACAATAAAAGGGAAGTAAAAGCTTGTTACCAGTAAAAGCTGTCTCTTTAAAAGACATTACAGCTCTGAGATTTCCCTTGGCAACTGTTGAGGCAGGCTGCCTAGTGGTATCCACACTCCTGGGTGAGGGTTGTGGGATGCCTGTGTGGTGCACAGGAGCCATGCAGAGAGGACATCTAAGCTGGTAAGAGGTGCTATGGCACTAATGTCACTGTTGTCTCTCAGGATCAGATGTGCTGATGTTCCTGCTGGAAAGAGGTGTGTGTTTCTCTCTCTCTCTCTTTTTATTTATTTATTTATTTATTTATTTATTTATTTATAACTGAATTTACAGCTTCACAAAACACAAGAGTGAGTTTCTAAATATCATTATTTAAAGTGCTGAAATTCCCAGGTGAAACCCCACCAAACCAAATGTCTTGCATGGCGTCCCTAAAGGACTTTCTTTCCTTTCCTCCTCCTCCCCAGCCCAGAAACAAGGGATAATCATTCTCAGCACACACAGGAGAACCAAGCAGCACCCACCAAATACAGCCTCATATTTGAAGCAGGTTCAGATAATTTCAGATGGAGAGGGGAAGTGAACCCAAGACCAGCACAGCCTCAGAAGTTGCATTGACCAAGAAATAATCAGATACATTAGCAGGAAGTGAGAAAGAAGTCTGACTTTTTCTAGAGCAAAGAAGCTGCTGCACTCTTCATAGTTGCACTCCAAAGACACCAACTGATTTGAGTCCAGGTGGAAGGTGGAATATGTGTAGGAGTGTGTGTGTGTCCTTATCAGAGACACAATTATGTAGCTTCTTAGCACTGTCTTGAGGAGTTTCTGCTCATCCCAAAAAGAGATGTCTAAATGTAACATGACCTTTAAAACTGAGAAAGTCCAGGCAATAACTAAGAAAATTGGAGTTTAATTAGCACTCAGATTAGACATATACTATTTTCCTATGTCATTTTGTGCTCTGATCTATACTAGATTTAAGGACAGTTGGCTTTTCTCCATTTAAAAGTTATTTTCTGAAATATGAATGTATGCATATATATGTACAAACACACACACACACACACACACACACACACACACACACACGCACACATATTTCTTGGCACACTGAAAGTTTTGTACTCCCATTTCAAATTTTCCCTCAAGTATCCCTGCTTCTTGGTAGCCAAAATCTAGCAA